ATGGATGGATGGATGGATGGATGGATGGATGGATGGATGGATGGAAAAAGAACGAGCCAGGAGGAGGAACAGAAAACTTTCAATAAACCCAAAGTTTTCTAATGCTCTTATATTTATTTATTTATTCTTTTTTTTATTTATTATTATAAACTCACCTTTTCTTTTTTATACAAAACAAACAAATAAATAAAATAATCTGTTGAATAAAAATCAAAGTATGCATTATTGATGCCACTGTTTAAAAACTAAATGAAGACAACTCGTGTGAAATGTTCAGTTTTTGGAGCATTTTCCCACGAAACACATCTGTTCTTCAGTGTTTTCAGTGTTTCCAGATGTTTAACAGCTGTTGGTCTGCAGTGAAAATACAATTCCAACCGTAACAAAGAAAAGGAGACGTTTTACGTTTGGAGCCGTCAGAGCTAATCACAGTTTTTACTCGTCTCCGCGCAGCAGGAACACGAAGCATTAAATCAAATCAATAACTTGATGATCAAACTCTTCCTTTAAGCTTTGTGGCGTCTCAGAAACACCCAATCACTGATCAATACTGGCTAATCTTCACGCAACATGAAGGCTATTCAATCTTTTTGAAATATTTTGTAATTTTTCAACACATTAAAGTTTAATTTGCATTTAACGGTTTATTCAGAGCAGTTTCTCACATTAACACAGTTTCTGACAGATAAACACGTGCGCTCTTCTTCTTCTTCGTCACCTCCTCCTCCTCACACACGAGGTGAAACGAATGCGCGACACTTACCCAATGGCTTTGTCGAGGTTCTTCTGTTCCCAGTCGGGCTTGTTTGTCTCACTGAGTCACGAACATGTGAAGCAACACGGGGAGAAGAAAAAAAACAGCCATTAAAAAAAAACAACCTCAAAACCCTAAATTAATAATCGACATGTTTCTCTTTTAATTACGTTCTTTGTACAGGTGAGTCCCAGAGGTTATAAACGGAGGTCCTGACCCGGCAACAACTATCAACTCTCAGGTTAAGTAGATTAAATCCCAAATAATCAATTACATCTAAAGACTGTGAGGTGTTTCCCCCTAAGCAGCCCCCAAACGTCCTCTAGTTTCAAACCGTTTGAATTTAACAGTAGAAAATGTTAATCGTGCTTATTGCAGCTGTAAATGCATGAAACAAAAACCTCAAATGAAGCAACGAGTGCAGAAAACAGTGACTGAATGAAAGCGAGTACCTTGGCTGTCTGTGTGAGCTCCTACAGCGAGTGAGACGGGCAGAAAAAAAGAGGGGATGGCAGAAAATGGAGGTGGAAGAAGAGGAAAAAATAAGTCTTTATTTAAAAAATGATGGCGCTCGCTGTTACGCCGATGACGAACAACAGAAGCAGCAGAAACGAGAGAAGCGGTGGATGGCAATAAGCTCAGTGAATGGCGTTTAGCTGACAAATGGGTGAGTGTGGAGATAGAGACGACACAAAAGCTGATTTAAATTACTGTGTTGGAAAAGAAGCTGCAGCGGGACAACTATTTTATACCGTCAGCTTCTGAAGAGCAACACTACTGATCGTTATCCGTTCAGGATTTTACACTTTTAGCTCTTTTAAGTCAAGAAAAATAAGAGGTTTCAAACTGCAGACTGTTAAATCTACATGCCACCAGTTTGATGGAAAATGGAGTTTATGAGTGAGAAAACACAAACGAGGCTAAAAAAAAAAGATCCAAGAACAGCAGGATTAGCTGCAGGACGGACTGTATATTAAAATTTATTGTAGTTTGAGTAGTTTAAAGCAAAACTTGATAAATTTGAGGGGAAACGAAGATAATTTGGAATCAAAAGTAAGGTAATTTGATCAAATACAACATCCCTCTCTGCTGTGCTTCAGCCATGAAGCCCCTCCCTGCAGAAGAGGCTCCTCCTACAGTTGCATCAGCAGAAACTTTTGACAACAACCTTTGCACACTTTGTGCAATTTTAGCTGTTCATATATCGAAACAATCAGCTCAGAGATGGGTGAGCTGACGTTTGTTTAGTTTTTTATTGTAATTTTTAAAAAACTTTTTAAACATTTTAACTTTATTTACAAATATTTTCCCTATGCATCTTTCTTTCAAAACATTTTTCTCACACTTTATTTTATATTTTCTTATGCTGCTTTTACTTTTGCTGCTACTTTTAGCTTCTAGCTCACCTTGTGTGACTTTTAGCTTCTTTATTGCTAAACTTTTGATATGTTTACCTTTTAGCCAGCTTTTAGCTACCTTTAGGTTTTAGCTAGCTTTATGTTTATTTCTTCTAGTCATTTTGCTACCAATTTCTTTTTTTTTTTAAGCTTTTAGCTAGGTTTTTACTATTTTAAGCTAGTGTTTTCTGCTTTTATCTAGTATTTTTATACTTATAACAAGCCTTTTGTTGCATTTATCAAACCTTTTACTACTTTTAGCCTTTAGGGAGCATTTAGCTATTTCTGTTCTTTTTCTTTTAGCTTTAACAACTCATTTTCAGCTTATTTAGCAAATTCCAGCACTCAATATTAACAGTGTATTTTGGCAGAAAATGTAATTTCTTTAGTTTTAATCTCTAGTTTGTGTCACCCTTTTACTTTTTTACTGCAGTGTTTGTCACTATTTTAGCCGCTGGACATAAATTAAATATTTTATCAAGTTGTGATACAAGAACTTTTCTGAACTCGTCCAAATAAATCGTCTAATAAGAGCCAATACAAAGAAAATCACATTTCTCTGTTTTAAATCAGCGTACTTGCGCTTTGGTTGTAAGGAATCCTGGAGCATCTGCAGAGCAGTGGACTTGTCGTGTTCTGCAAAATACCTGCAGGAAGATGAGACGGAATAAAAGAATCAGTACACACGTGTGTAAACCAGGTGCGTTCAGACGTTAGAAGGTTTCTGTTCAGAGCTCAGAGCTTACAGCAGGTTGTGCAGACCCAGCAGGCCCATGCCTCTGAAATCAGTCTTGGGATCGCTGCCTTGGAAACCGATTTCACACCACTGTTTGGAGATGCGACTGGTGAGGGGGGTGTCGGGGCGCAGCTCCTTCCACAGCTACAACACACACACTTCAGGTAAGCGGCAACAAAACTAGGACACACAACAGCCATGAAATGTTCTTACACAGCGCGGGGAGGAAGCTGTGGATGTTTGTTTACAGATTCTTCTGTGGTGGTTCACTGGAGACCAGTGACGTTTTTAAGGTTGGATCAAACGAAAACAAACGCTCCTTGAGGCTTTTTTACTGCTCCAGACTACAGAGCCTCGTACCTTCATCAGCGTGTCCTCGTGCTCGGGGTTTTCACAGTCGTACGGTTCCCTGCGGAGCTTCTCCACCTCCGCCAGCAGACTCCTGTAGCCCACAATCTGCAGCAGGCTGGCCTGCAGAGAGACGCCCAGCCTGCAGACAGACAGACACATGTGTCTGAAGGGTTTCTGCATCAACAAGGATCTGAACTGTTCTCAACGTTAATGAAGAGGAAAAACTTCCCGTTTACTGAAACATCCAGACAGAAACGAAGAAGCAGCAGAAACAGAGTGTGTGTCCTACTGTGGGTTGGTGTCCGGATTAATCTTCTTCAAGGCCACGATGTCCTCGATGGTTTTCTCGACTTTGTCAGGATGGACGCTGAGGGCGGACTGCAGCAGCTGGAGAGGACAGGAAGATGACAGGCGTGAGAAAAAAAACAGGCATGAAGCAGAAAAACGGGTTATATTTCATTTTTATTTAACGAAACGCAAGATTTAAAGACAACGTACTTCATGCTTGGAGTACCGCAGGGATGACTCTGAGGAAGGCAAAGATTACAGTCAGGAGGAGTCAGTAGGAACAGACGACAGTAAAATATATAGGTTCTTAAATATTATATTTTAGTTTTGTGTGAAAACTCAGCATTTTTCTGTTTTTTCTTTTGTTTTGTTGCAATCTAACTACGTCTGCATACTTTAAGCTACTTTAGCTATCAAAAGGTTCAGCTTCCTGAGGCTATGTATTTTTTTATATTTTTCCAATCTTTACATTTATTTACACTTTTCCCATATAAATACATTTAGATCTCGTGAATTTATTGAAAAACGTTTGAAATCTGCTTCAGCTTTCTGTATCTTACGCTACTTTTAGTTTTTAGCTAATCCTTTGTTACTTTTAGCTACTGCTCAGCTAATTTCATTCTTAGCTAGCATTTTACTACTTTTGCCTAGCTGTTTGTTACTTTAGCTACTGTTTAGGCTCTTTAAATACCTTAAAATACACTTTATTACTTTTTTTAGCTAGCGTTTAGTTATTTCTTTTTTAGCTTTTAGCTTGCTGTGTGTTATTTTTAGCTTTTAAAATGTGTTTAGATCAAAATAATGAAAATGAAACAAAATGAAAGTAGCTGAACAATAGCTAAAAGTGAGTTTAGTTAAAAGGTAAAAAGTCATTCATTCAACCTGTATAAATAAATGTTCAATGAATGAATGAATTAATTTTTAGCTTTTTAATCTTTAGCTATTCTTCAGCTACTTTCGTTTTTTTAGCTAGCATTTTACTACTTTTAGCTGTTTGTTACTTTTAGTTTTTAGTCAACCTTTTGTTACTTTTAGCTACTGTTTAGTCTCTTTTCATACATTAGCTAGCATTTAGCAACATTTAGCTTTTTGCTGCTCTAAGCATTTAGCTAGCTTTAGCTGGTGTTAGCTTTAAAAGTCAGTTTCAGCTGTCACCCAGATCTCAGTGTTCACACTGTTGTTGTAGATTTGTTTTAATTAAGGAGAGTTTTTCTCCAACACCTCACTATTTATTTATTCTGAATGTAAAGATGTGGCCCTATCTAATTACCGTTAGCAAGTTATCAGTTAAATTTGAACAATAGTGCTTTTTTGTTGTTTTAATTGCCAAAATAAAAAAATAAAAAAATTCTTAGCTCTAAACAAATTATTTGTAAAAGAAAATAATAATAATTTATGTGAGAAATCAAAGAGCTGTTAATTGTTGTTGATTGAAGCTAACTCTCTGACAGTAATCCTTTAACTGCAGAGCCGTTTCCGAACGTTTGTCGTCAAACAGTTTAAAAGAAACGATGAATTAGAAGTGTCGGGTTAGTGTTGGATCGTAACCGTACCGATCTTGAAGGTCCGGCGAGCTCCGTGCTTGTTGTTGTAGCAGATCCTCTGCAGCTCGCAGCGGCCCGTAAACTTCCTGACGACAAACTTCAGGCCCCGCCAGAGACATTTACAGTAGAGGAAGGCGAAGAACTGGGTCAGCACCCTGAAGACCAGACGGCAAGAAGACCGACATTATGCTCGTCCAAGACACCGGGGCTGTTTCTGTTCGTTACCTCTTGACTGTTTAAATGTTTAAACAGAATGAAAAGCTGCAACAATTAGTTTGTTGACAATAATTCCTACACATTTATAAGGTCTTTAATTCTTCTTAAAAATAACGCCTTCATATATCTATATATATATTTTTAAGGAATCACAATAAAACCAAAGAGAAAAAGTCCATCAGGTTGAAAATAAAAAGGAAAACCAATAATTTTGTTCATTTCATAAGCAGAATGACCAGTCTGCAGCAGATTGTCTTATTTTTGATGCAAATGTTGAAAATATTAATAATAAACCATCAGCAGCTTTCTCCGGCTTCACTTCTCGTTTTGAGGTTTTGAATCGTGTTTAATCTGAGCTCAAAACAGAGGAACACATCTGCATTTGAAAGCTCCGTCTGGAAACCACACAAGCAGTTTTCCAACCTTCCCGTGCCGGAATAAATCCCTCAGACGCCGAAGGATCACAGTGAAACATCAGTGTCTGTGTCAACAAGAAGATCGTCTCTGGTTCAGTCCAGAAGGATTGATCAGAGGATCAGACCCGCATGTTAAACAGCTCAGACCGCTACCTTTTCTTTCACTTTCAAGGACCGGAGCAGCAAGAAAACAAGGCGATAACGCAAATCTGACAACTTTGAACAGTCTGAGTCCGGTTCGTTGGTTTTACAGAGATGTTCGGTCTGTAGAAATGTTTGGAAATGGCCCTGTCCCGTCCACACGTGAGCTTTCAGAAACGAGCGGGTATCGTGGAAACGAGGTGTGGAGCAGAACTCAGCCGTATTGACGTGGAGCTCAGTGTTATGTGACGGACGACTCGTATCGTCTTCAAAACGATAAGTTAACTCAGTTTAACTGTTATTTTTGTGGTAACTAATTTTTTTTTAAACTAAATACAAAAGTGCAAAGCCTCACAACTGATCTTATCTCGGTAATAAATCTGTTTGTTGTTTATTCTTGCAACTATTGGTCGCACTGACCGGATGTCTTCGTTTCTTCACGTTTTTGACCCACATAACCAGCATCCGGGCCTGAGGTGATTTTAAAGAAGCTCGCAGAGTCTTAGCAGTGCTGCGGAAATTAACTGGTGATTGGAAATGCAGACAAAAATACAATTAAACAACCTAGCCTGCTTGTTTTTATTATATTATCTAGGCAAATATAACATATTGCCGTGCTATTTTAAGAACTAATTGTGACGTTTAAATAGAACAGCATTTTTAATTTTCTTCTGACTTGAGACCTTAACACACCTTTAATAATACCAATAGTGCTGATAAAAATCTTAATAGAATCATTACTTTTGCCCCAAAAAGAGCTTTAATATATATATATATATATTCAAAATAACATGTTTAAAGTTAAATCTGCTTGGTTTAAAGACTTTCTGTCATGAACCATTTCTACAATAACTTCAGCATTTTTATTTTAATCCATGTCTAAAAGAATCATAACAGTCCTTGAGCAAACTTAAGCCCAACAGACATCTAGAAAAATAATTAAACGTTTGATTAAAACACCATAAGATTTGACTTGAGACTCATTTTTGCCAACATACACACAAACATCACATATGGTTTATGTTTGTACTGTTTTTGTCCTGTTGAGCTCTCTGAACTGTCAAAACTAATAGCTTCATCCAAACCATCCACATGTCTATCCCATCCCAACCAGACTGTTTAAAGATGTAATTCACTTAATTAATAACCACATTTTGGATCTGCTTACTTTGTCTCTGATAAATGGTTACGTACCACAGAGCTTTAAGATTGCTGTAATTAAACCTTTACTGAAACAGAGCCTTGACTCGGGAATCCAAGCCAATTATAGACCTATATCTAATCTAACTTTCATCTAAAAAATTCTAGAGAAAATAGTTGCAGGTCAGTTACGTGATAACCTGCAAATAAATAATTTGTTTGAAGAGTTTCAATCAGGTTTCAGAGCTCACCACAGCACTGAATCTGCACTGGTCAAGTTACTAATGATATTCTCATGGCCTCTGACAATGGACAGGTGTCTACACTGTCCTGTTAGACCTCAGTGCTGCATTTGATACAGTTGATCATAATATTTTACTACATAGACTTGAATATGATGTTGGAATTACAGGAACGGCTCTAAATTGGTTTAAATCACATTTATCGGATAGATTCCAATTTGTAAATGTAAATAATTTATCTTCATACACCAAAGTTAGTCATGGAGTTCCTCAGGGTTCTGTGTTTGGACCAGTACTCTTTACCTTGTACAGGTGCAGAAAAAGTTGATTTATTTCAGTAATTCCATTCAAAAAGTGAAACTTGTATATTATGTTTTCATTACACAAAGACTGATATATTTCAAATGTTTCTTTTAATATTGATGATTATAACTGACAACTAATGAAAACCCCAAATGCAGTAACTCGGAAAATTTGAATATTAAGACTAATTAAAAAAAAAGGATTTTTAGAAATGTTGGCCAAATGAAAAGTGTGAACATGAAAAGTATGAGCATGTACAGCACTCAATACTTAGTTGGGGCTCCTTTTGTCTGGATTACTGCAGCAATGTGGCATGGCATGGAGTCGATCAGTGTGTGGCACTGCTCAGGTGTTCTGAGAGCCCAGGTTGCTCTGATAGTGGCCTTCAGCTCTTCTGAATTGTTGGGTCTGGCATATCGCATCTTCCTATTCACAATACCCCACATATTTTCTATGGGGTTAAGGTCAGGCGAGTTTGCTGGCCAGTTAAGAACAGGGATACCATGGTCCTTAAACCAGGTACTGGTAACTTTGGCACTGTGTGCAGGTGCCAAGTCCTATTGGAAAATGAAATCTGCATCTCCATAAAGTTGGTCAGCAGCAGGAAGCATGAAGTGCTATAAAACTTCCTGGTAGACGGCTGCATTGACCTTGGACCTCAGAAAACACAGTGGACCAACACCAGTTGATGACATGGCACCCCAAACCATCCCTGACTGTGGAAACTTGACACTGGACCTGAAGCAACATGGATTCTGTGCCTCTCCTTTCTTCCTCCAGACTCTGGGACCTTGATTTCCAAAGGAAATGCAAAATTACTTTCATCAGAGAACATAACTTTGGACCACTCAGCAGCAGTCCCAGGCGAGACACTTCTGACGCTGTCTCTTGTTCAAGAGTGGCTTGACACAAGGAATGTGACCGCTGAAACCGTCTTGCATACGTTTGTGCGTGGTGGTTCTTGAAGCACTGACTCCAGCTGCAGTCCACTCTTTGTGAATCTCCCCCACATTTTGGAATGGGGTTTGCATCACAATCCTCTTCAGGGTGCAACTATCCCTTTTGCTTATACAATTTTTTTCTACAACATTATTCCCTTCCCTTCACCTCTCTATTAATGTGCTTGGACACAGAGCTCTGTGAACAGCCAGCCTCTTTAGCAATGACGTTTTGTGTCTTGCCCTCCTTGTGCAAGTTGTCAATGGTTGTCTTTTGGACAACTGTCAAGTCATCAGTCTTCTCCGTGATTGTGTAGCCTACAGAACTAGATTGAGAGACCATTTAAAGGCATTTGCAGGTGTTTTGAGTTAATTAGCTGATTAGAGTGTGGCACCAGGTGTCTTCAATATTGAACCTTTTCACAATATTCTAATGTTCTGAGATACTGAATTTGGGGTTTTCATTAGTTGTCAGTTATAATCATCAACATTAAAAGAAATAAACATTTAAACTATATCAGTCTGTGTGTAATGAATTAATATAATATACAAGTTTCACTTTTTGAATAGAATTACTGAAATAAATATTTATTTTCATGATATTCTAATTTTATGACCAGCACCTGTATGCTTCCATTAGGTAAAATAATTAAACAACATTGCCTCGGTCTGCCAGCATGGAGGCCTCTGTTGACATCTGCAACGACTTTACCGGATACTTTGCTGATAAGGTAGAGTTGATTAGGTCATCCATCCCCCAGTCCACAACTGACCCCTCTGTCTTTGTCCCTTGCTCAGCTGTCTTCAAACAGTTTGAACCCATTTCACTCCCATTTCTAAACAAAGTCATTGGTCAGATGAAACCCTCCGGTTCCCCCGCTGACCCCATTCCTGCGTCATTTTTCAAACAAGTTCTACCCACGATTGGACCCTCTGTTCTTACCATTGTAAACAGTAGTATTGTGACAAGTGTGGTTCCCGATGTTTTCAAACATGCAGTAGTTCATCCGTTAATTAAGAAACCTGGACTTGACCCTTTGACTTGCTCAAATTTCAGACCAATCTCAAAACTTCCCTTCCTGTCCAAAATCCTGGAGAAAATAGTTTTCATTCAATTAAACAAGTTTTTGAATGAGAACAGAATCTTTGAGGTTTTTCAATCTGGTTTTAAGCAACTCCACAGCACTGAAACAGCATTAGTAAGGGTTTGTAACGACATTATGATCTCAAACGATTCTGGTCAATTTGTGGTACTTGTGCTCCGGGACCTTACTGCTGCTTTTGATACTGTTGACCACAGTATCCTTATATCACGGCTGGAACAGTGGGTTGGGATCACAGGTGCTGCATTAGAATGGTTCCGCTCATACCTGAATGGCAGGAGTTTCTGTGTCAAGGTTGGTAATAATGTATCCGCCTCATTACCTCTTTCTTGCGGGGTCCCACAGGGTTCGATTCTTGGACCCCTTCTGTTCTCACTTTATTTGCTCCCACTGGGGTCCATCCTGAGGAAACTTGGTCTTTCATTCCATTGCTATGCTGATGACTGCCAAATCTACCTGCCTGTGAAACCAGCAAGTGCTTGCTCCATTCACCCTCTGTTAAAATGTCTGGACGACATTAAGGCCTGGATGGCTTCAAATTTCTTAAGTTTTAACAATGAGAAGATTGAAGTCATTGTCTTTAGCCCTAGCTCAACTGCCGCCACTGATCCTGTCAACCTGGACTCTCTTCAGCCATATCTGAAGCAGTCTGGTAAAAATCTCGGGATGGTTTTAGACTCTGACTTCAAGTTTGACAAACAAATTAACTCTGTTCTGCAGAAAAGCTTCTTCCAACTCAGACAGGTAGCTAAACTCAAGCCTGTATTGTCCAGACCCGACCTTGAGAAACTAGTCCACGCCTTTGTCACGACCCGATTGGACTATTGTAATGCACTCTATGCTGGGGTCAGCCAGGCCTCCATCTCACGTCTTCAGCTCGTCCAGAATGCTGCTACTCGGCTTTTAACCGGAACTCGTAGGTCTGAACATATTACTCCAGTTCTGTCCTCCCTTCACTGGCTCCCTGTTCGTACAAGGATAGTCTTTAAAATTCTTCTGTTGACCTTCAAATGCCTAAATGGTCTCGCACCCCTTTACCTCTCTGAGCTTCTGGAACCATACGTTCCCTCTCGGGCCCTGAGATCATCCGATCAGCTGCTTTTGGCTGTTCCAAAAACAAGAAGCTCAGAGGAGATCGGGCTTTTTCAGTCATGGGCCCCAAACTGTGGAACAACCTGCCCCCCCCCAACATCAGGCAGGCCACCTCCATTCCTCACTTCAAATTCCTGCTTAAAACACATCTGTTCTCTCAGGCATTTCACACAGTGTAAATTGATCTAGTGCTTTTTTTATCTGTGACCCTATGTTTTAAATGCTTTTTTAAATTAATTCTTCAGTTATTATTATTAGTGTATTGTGTATATATATATATCCATCCATCCATCCATCCATTATCTTTACCCGTTTATTCCATTTTGGGTCACGGGGGTCGCTGGTGCCCATGTCCAGCAATCACTGTGCGAGGGGCGGGTACACCCTGGATGGGTCGCAGGTCCTTCACAGGGCCACATAGAGACAAACAACCATTCACTCTCTCACTCACACCTAGGGACAATTTAGAGTTACCAATCAGCCTAACATGCATGTTTTTGGTATGTGGGAGGAAACCGGAGAACCCGGAGAAAACCCACGCATGCACAGAGAGAACATGCAAACTCCACCCAGAAGGCACCTGGACCGGGGTTTGAACCAGGGACCTGTTCGCTGAGAGGCAGCAGCTCTACCAGTTGCGCCACCGTGCTGCCCGTATATATATATATATATATATTTTTTTTTTCTCTTTGATTTTACTCTCATTGTTGTTGTTGTTGTTGTTGTTGTTGTTGTTGTTGTTGTTGTTGTT